CACTTGCTGGTAGTTATTTTCTACGAAGCCAAGAGCTGGAAAGGGTAGCCAGCGAAAGCGAGTAATCGTTTGAGAACACGATAAGGGAGGATTCAGTACGGTCAGCCACAGCCAATGAAGACCACACGAACGCAGTTATCACGACTTTGAATGTCTTACGGGCATCGGTTGAAGAATTGCGGAACAGTATGTTGGAAAGCCAGAGGGACATCGTGAGACTTCGAGAAGACATCCAGTCACAAAGTGAAGAAAATGGAACTATACATCCAGCACCATGCGAGGTAAGACACACATTTTTGGCAGCCACAGATTAGGTGGTAAAATTATACGACTTGCCAACGGTTAGCGGCAATGCCGAAGAGTGGCCTCTGTTCCTAGCCAACTTTAATGAAACTATGCAGGCATTAAGTACAACAATCTACAAAATTTAATGGGTTTACAAGAGTGTTTGGTGGGGCCGGCAAAAGAAGCAGTGGTATCAATGTAAATTTACCCTGAAGAAGTGGCAAATGTGTGGAACGAGTTGGAGTTTAGGTTCGTTAGGCCCGACATTTTAGTAAAATGACAACAACTCCCGACTATAGCCGAGCACAAGCCTGAGCAGATAGTGCCATTTTCTACGAAGGTGCGTTGTACGATAAAAGCAACTGAAACCCGATTATGTTTGTACGCACCAAATATCGGGAATATAATGACACTTATTTATTTGCAAATTTGTCTTTTATAGAAGGCTATAAACGGTACAACAGCGTGATTTGTTAACGTTTGGTTTTATGATGTTTAAAGGTTCATGAATATAATACATAAGGATGGAAATATGTATGTATGTATGCAAAAGATAAATAGTCGAATGAAAATAGGTTAGTGCAGAGTGCAGACGATAAAATAGGTCGTTGGCACTTAATCGCGTATATCCTGCACGGCTTAGTCCTCCGGACTTAGAATGCCTTCGTGGGCTTGAAGGTTACGGCATACTCGTTTGACTGGGCGCTGACACGAATGTTTGCGATAGAAACCTCTTTCGAAAGTGCAGAATTCGATGATGAATACGCGCACCAGCCACTCACTCTCCGAATGCACTGCTGCAATGCGACCGTTGCGCCATCGAGATGGAGGAAGCTGCTCTTGCTGGATGGACGTCACCGTCTTGTAGATTAGGCGTAGGTTGGGCCCACTTGCTACGAGCCTGCAGCTGGACCAAGTATTCCGCCTTCCGGATGGGTCATCTCGTAGTTGCGTGATCTTCTCCACGTGGCCGAGCGGCTCGTACTCGCGCATAAACTGAACATACTTCTGGCGTAAGTCATCATCGCTTCTCTGACGTCGCTCAAGGTTGAAAAATTGGCCCAGCGCCTTGCCGAAGGAGTCACCGAGTGCTGGCGCATCCGGTGAAAATTGAACCGGACTATGTATCGGCCATTGCTCTTGCGCGATACGGCTCGTTGGAAAATCTCTTCGCAAATGTCATCGGTCGTTTTGGAACGAGGAACCTCCCCCAGTTTCCAAAAGCATTGAAGAATCTCATCGAGTCGCTCCTCCTCGGTAGCACATTCGTTATGTGTGCCCAAGGCTGCGAGTAACACACTGCGTGGCGATGTAGGTCCGCATATGACCCAACCCAGACGCGTATGGAGAGCACACGGTTCATTAGGCCCACTAGTGATAGTTTCACCCAGGAGAAGCATGCCCATGATGTCCGCTCCAATGAGTACAGCGATACTTCCTGGCGTGGGAAATGTCGGATCAGCCAGTGGTATGTTGCGCAAGTGTTTGTACCCGCTCATGTCAATTGGAGATGTGGGAATCGTCGAAGTTATACATGGTAAGATGTGCGCATTAAAGCGGCACTCAAATCCTGCACCGTGATATGGTCGCATCACCAGAGTCGTCCGTCCACGCGAAGAAGTTGCACTCTTCTACCATCAATGTGTAACGCCTTCTGTGGAGATTCACACGCTTAAAAAATGGCTCCGTAATGAAGCTTACCTGTGAACCCATGTCCCACAAGAGACGACACGATACTTCCTCTCCGCACCCATTTACAATGGGCGCCTTGGCAGTGGTCAGTAGGACGATTCCCTCGGATTGCACCAGGAGAGGCTAGACAGCGTCCATATGGGGTAGAACTTGAGGTGCAGTGGCGCTGGTTGATGGCGATTGTTGCTCAAGTACGGACAGCGGTCGCGCTACTGAGCTGGTGTTTGTAGGTAACCGCTCGCCTTGCGGAGCAGGCTTGCAAAGCAATATGTTGTGTTTCTGCTTACAAATGTTGCAATTTCCCGAGTTATACTCACGGGCCGAGTGACCTGCTCCCAAGCAATTGAAGCATAACGATGCTTGGCGCACCGAGTGCAAACGTTGATCCAGGTCAGGGCTGATCTCATGTTGGCGCCTTGAAGATTTGGGCATCACCACATGTGACTGCGCCGTACGATATGTTTCCGAGTGCTTGGGCGGTACGGTAGAGCTGCTCCTTAAGGCGTAAGCATAGGTTTCGATCTCCTCAAACATTTTTGGAAGCTGGGGCAGAGTACCTGAATGACTTAGAACGGTCCAGTGTGCAACCGCCGATGTTGGCAATTTACGGAGAACAATAGGATAAACGATGGCGTCCCATTGGTCTGTTGCCAAGCACGTAAGTTAAGTTAATTGCACATAAGGTACTGCGTACCACATCGAGTACATTCCGAACATTGCGTTGCGTAAGTGCTGGGTGTTCAGGCAAGTCCAACAACCGATTCACATGTGACTCAGACAAACGCCTGGGATTGTCGTACCTCTTTTTCAGTTCCGCCCATAGCTGGTCGTAGCCTCCAGTGTATACGCCGCCAACCGTTGGCACCGCTTGCGCACCGACGCACTGCCTTAGCCGGCTGAGTTTGTAAGTATCGTCAAGCTCAGTGCGATTATGTACCATCGCCTCGAAGATGTCCTTAAAAACCAACCAGTTTTCCTGTCGGCCATCGAACTTGGGGAGTTTAACGGGATCTTATCGGTGTTCACCTTGGCACCGACTAGATGCAGAGTGCGCAGTGTAATTTGAGCCAACACGCATGCGTTGCAATTCGGTGACAGCACTACCATAAGTCGCCTCCACTTGCGCTAGTAGCTCCTCATGAGCGTCCAATTCTCTGTCTGGGGCTCCGGGCAGCCACTAACACCATATAATTGTCCATGAAGCGATTATAGAGCCCGGCTAGAGTGCTGATGGTGTGCTCCACTTGCACCTCATCCGGGGTATAACCTTCGGCTTCCACCTACGGCCTGATGCCTATATGGAACTCCTCGCCGCTCTTCTTATGTTCTTTGCAGCCATATTTTCGCGGTTAGGATCGCGACAGCAAACTACCTTCATTTTACAGCGTAAATTATACTTTAACAAAGAACCGCGCTTTCAGTCCTCCAAGGAGACACCAAAAATGTGTACGATAAAAGCAACTGAAACCCGATTATGTCTGTACACAGCAAATATCGGGAATATAATAACACTTGTTTATTTGCAAATTTGCCTTTTGTAGAAGGCTACAAACAGTACAATAGCGTGATTTGTTAACGTTAGATTTTATGATGTTTACAGGTTCATGAATATAATATATAAAGATGGAAATATGTATGTATGTATGCAAAAGATAAACAGTCGAATGACAGTTTAGCTTAGTGCAGAGTGCAGATGATAAAATTTGTCGTTGATACTTAATCGCGTACATGCGTAATGTGGTAGTGTTTTTAAAATACGCTAAGTGTGATCAGCACTTATCGAACGTTTGCTTACTAGAGCAAATGATCTGCAAATTACCTCCGATCAAGCAGTTCGACTGGGCCAAGCATGCCGCTACGCTGAATAAGTACCCCACAATTTAAAATTTTTCTGCATGGCTTTGAAACCTGGCTAGAAATGTTTGTTTGATGCCGGTTGCTAACACACATATTTACAAGCATATGTCGTCAGCTAATCCTCGACGTTTGATGCTAGGATCGTCGATATCATGAATCGATTTAATTCATTGCATGTAAAACCGATATCGATAGCGAAAAAATCGATGTTGAAAATCCTACTCCCAATTGAATACAATAATAGACCTGCCTATCAACTCACCTAATTGCTCTATTTCCATCTTGTATATTTACTGAGGATTAAAACGAAATGCCGGTCGACTGTTATTACGTTAATGGGTAGGCTAATTCACGAATTCATTTCATGAATTCGGGTTAAAATTGGCTGCAAAACCCCATTTCATGAATTCAATTATACACGAAAGTTAACCATGAATTCGGCATCATTTCATGAAATCGTGAAGAGCAAGTCCGGCAACGCCACGTTTCACAAACAGCTGTTTACTAGAGTTATCATGTTTTTAGATTAATAACCATGAGTGGCATAACCAAGATTTTAAACACTGGAAAAGTTATGTGGAATTGTTCAAATATAAAATAAATTCAAAAGGAATAAACTGAAAATATATTAAAACCAATTTAAATAAAATATGGTTCATTGCCTGGTACCAACGGCATTTGCAAACTCAAAATTAGGCCAAAAAATCACAACCCTACTGTTTAGTTTCTCGCCAGTGCGTTGGCACATTTTCAAAGCACTTTATTTAATGAATTCTATAATTCATGAACTATGCATAAGCGGGACCATTTTTGAATTCATGAAATGAAGAATTGATGAATTCTGTCGCACTTAGTATGTATTGTCAAAGAAGATAGAACAAGACAATAGCTTTGCTCCACACGCTTTCCGGGCTGCTCCAGTAATTAGAGCGTAAAAATAAGTTACTCTCTCACAAATGTCAAAATGTGTCAAGACGTGCCAAAAGCGCGCAGAGCGTGAGGAACGCAGAAAACCACATTTCGTGCCCGGAATCAACAAATCAGCTCTAAACAATTATTTACGTGTATTTATCTTATATGGCTAATAAAATTACCAAATAACTACATTTTCTGAGAATTCTGTGGTATTTTCCTCTTTTGTGTTTTATAAAATTTGCTTACGGATTTAAACACCAGCTGTTATTTCAAATTGCCCTTTTGCACATTTGTGCCCGAAAAAAGTCCGGGCTGTTTCGTGCAAGAAGAAGAAGACATTTACGATCCAAAAGTGGAACGTATTCGCTCTCTATTACCCATTTTTCTGGCATGTGTAACGCTTTCTGGGCTGCTTTGGACAGCCGCGGGTACCCGCGGGCTCGTGTGGAACAAACCTAATAAGTCTAACGTTGGCAACGAGTTAAGAGCCGTATACACCATGCAAGCTATTTGTCAAACTGTAAACATAATTTAGTATTTTCCCATAAACTTTTTTGTAGATGAAAAATTAATTTCAATTTAAATATCGATAATGTGGGCAAAGTATCGATGTCTTCGATATATCGACCTGGGAATATCGATTCAAAAAATCGAGTATCGCGCCATAAAGTATCGATATTCAGAATAATCGATACAATATCGATCATTCCTATTTGATGCACATACAAGATGAAAGAGCCCATGAAGTGTTTTCATTGTGGCGGCAACCATTCAATCGCAAGGTGTGAAGCCTTTAAAACGGTAGGTGTACCAGAAAGATCGGAAGTGGTTCACTGACGCCTTGTGGTACAAAGAGCTGTGCAAGGTACCACGACCAATTTTTACACAGTGATGAACAACAATCCGTACCGCAACAAGCAACCCAACGACAGATTAGCATGCAGCCGCTGCTGAATTGCCGTCTTGTACACTTGACGTCTAAGCAGCTATTTAAAATTCTTCCGGTTAATCTTTATGGACCGAATGGTAAATTAAAAGTCTTGGCAATGTTCGACGAAGGGTCAGCGATCTCAATCATAGAAGACGAGGCAGCCAAAAATATTGAGCTTAAGGGTCACCGTCAACCCCTTACACTCCAGTGGTACAACGACAGGGTCGTGACCGTGGAATCATTCAAGGTAATCTCTCAAATTGGTAACTATTGCGATAATACTAGATTTTCATTGAAAAATGTACATACGGTAAAAAATCTGAATTTATCTAAGCAGTCTTTCGCTAAAGAGTATTCCCACCATTCAAGGGACCTGCCATTGCAAGACTGCATGATGGCAAAACCAGTTTTGTATATTGGTTTAAATGAAGCACATTTAGGTATCAGCTCGAGTACCGTTGAGGCTGACCATGAAAATCCGGTGGCTATCAAAACGTCGTTGAATTGGCTAGCGTATGGCCCGACCAAGTTTGTGTCAATGACAGGTTCACGAATTCTGAAAGTGCGAGAATGGCAACAGCTACATCAATTGCTGTCAAACTATTTCGGAACGGACAACTTAAGTATAAGCCCAGTTATAGAAAAGCTCGAGTCCGACGCAGAGAAGCAAGCCAAAGCTATATTGAAGTCAACTATTCGGCGATTAGGTAATCGCTACGAGGTCGGGCTACTGTGGAAAACGTTTCCACTTCAGCTTCTACGCAGCAGAGAGATGGCGGAAAAGGGTTTGTTATCGGTTGAAAGGAGGATGAGCCGTGACGAAGAGTTTGCACTCCGGTATAAACGTGATATAGCCCAGTATGTAGAAAAAGGGTAGCCAGAAAGGTAACCGATGAAGAACTCAATGCGTCACATTCTCAAATCTGGTATCTGCCAAACTTCGCTGTTTTCAACCCTAACAAACCTAGCAAGCTTCGCTTAGTTTTTGACGCCGCAGCCGTAAATGGAGTGTCACTGAATTCAGCTTTGTTGAAAGGCTTGCTGAGGGCCGCTAATATGCATATTGTTACAGTTTAAACAAGGGAAGATCGGAGTTGCGGCAGATACCTGAGAGATGTTCTGACAAATAAAGGTGCGACCGATAGATCAACACGCACAACGTTATTTATGGCGGAACGGGGACTCCAACATCCCTATACAAGAGTTTCTGATGACGATGATGCAATTTGAAACAGAATTCCCGAAAGCGACATCTGTCATAATAATTAATCACTTCGGGGATGACCTGGTTGCCAGTTTTGATGATACACACGAAGTCATTACAGTCTGCCAATAGATCATCAACATCAATTTGGAAGGGGGTTTCGAATTACGAGATTTCATATCCAACTGCAGAAACGTAGAGAGAGCGTTGAACAAAAAACCACCACCGACGCGTGAGACAATTAACTTGGAACGCAGTGAAACCACCGAAAAGACCCTCGGCATCTACCGGAACACCAAAGACGACCCATTCGAGTTCCATACGAAGTTTCTTCGCGTACGCGTACAAATGTCGCCTGATTGAGGCCGCGTTCATGCACTTCTCTTCCTATTAAACAAATAATTGTGATAAATTTAGCTTTATTGCTGTCTTTTCCTTAAAACTCTTTATTTTAATCATTTGATTTTACTCGCACAGCTTGTTTACAGCCGCTTGCTGGTTGTCGAACTGTCAAATTTCGATTATCAATAACTCTACAGCAACTGACGATAGTTGCCATTCCTAATAAAAATTTTCTTTCCGGTTGCGTTGCCAGCTGAGAACCAAACCGTGGCTGCGTTGCTATCCGTAATCGACCGATAAGTAAAATGCTTGTTAGCTACCACGACTTCAAAATCAGCGGCATTTTGTTTTGGAGCGACTCGCAAACCCTATTGCAATGGATTAATTCCTCCGAGAGAAACTACAAGGCCTTCGTAGGCCAAAATTTCATTGATTTTACTAAATGTCGTTCATACTTAAAGATAAAACGCATAGTCGCATGGGTGTTATGAGCCAAATTGTTGTTTAATAGAAAGCCAGTCGATATGCGTCTGTCGAATATACTTACCGCTGTGGAAATTGAAGAAGCAGAGATAATGATCTGTGAAAAGGTGCAACAAGAGTATTTCACAAGCGAGATTGCAGACCTCTCTTCGTCGCGTCGCCTTTCCAGAGTGCAGTGTACAGTGTCACACCCTATCTCGACAAAAAGGGTCTTCTGAGGTTAAATGGCCGCATCGATATGGCAACGTATTTACCTTTCGGGGCGCGCCATCCTATTTTAGTGCCGTCAAAGCATATCGTCGCAGAACTAATCGCAAAGCACAGTCACGAGAAAGGTCATCACCAGAACCTCGGAGTTATAACACTTCGACTAACATTCTGGATTCCGCATATTAAAACGCTCTACAAAAGTGTGCAGCGAAACTATCTTGAATGCAGATTGAGCAAAGTAAATCCTGTCGCGCCTATGTGCGACCATTTTCTTACACAGGCGTACACTTGTTGGTGCCTTATAGTATTGCAATCGGGCGGAGATGAGAGAAGAGGTGGGGTGTTATCTCCACTTGTTTAACCGTAAGAGTAGCGCATATCGAACTAGCGGAGCATCTGTCTACAGACGCATTTATTTTATGCTTCAGAAATTTCGTAAATCAACGTGGGACCCCTGTAAGGATTAGAAGCGACAATGGGATCAATTTCCCAAAAGGAGTTAAAAAACGCTGAGCAACTATTTGATACCGACCGAATTCAAGAAGAAGCCGCGAAGTGTAAAATTGAATGGTTATTCAACTGCCCCGCCAATCACAGTGCAGGCGGTCTCTGGGAGCGTCTTATACGAATTGTTAAATCTCTACTAAACCGAACTTTACGTGAAACAGCGCCTAAAGTAGCAACCTTGCAAAGTGTGCTGATAGAGGCTGAGAATATTATTACCTCGCGGCCGCTAGCAGACTTGCCGGTATCTCACGACGGCGGGCCCATCACGCCGAACCATTTCTTGCTGGGATGTGTGAATTCAACACAAACTTCACACCCAATCGACGTAAAGCTTTGCCTGCGAAAGCAATGGAGGATAGCGCAGAACTTCAAAGACCGCTTGTGGAAACGATGGACGACAAAGTACCTGCCCCAACTTATATGCCGTACTAAGAGGAAGGAGAAAGCTACCCTCCTTCGAGTAAACGACCTAGTCTTGGTTGGTGAACCCACTCTACAACGCAGTCAATTGCGGAGAGGTCGTATCACCGAGGTATTTCCGACGAAAGATGGTCAAGTGCGCATGGCAGAAGTTAAAGACAAGCGGAGAAGTACTGCGTCGTCCAGCCAAACGTCTACCCCGACTCACGTTAAACGGTGAAACCCGGGGAGATTCACGGGGGGAGAGGCGTTAGTCACCCTGTGACATTCGCACTTGCAAATCAGCAAAATCCAAAGTAGCGGTATCCCTGATGGCGCCACTACTGTTTTTCATCGTGCTGTAAATCGCCTCATCACTACCGAATATTCTGGAAAATCATCTTAACACCATTGGCGAAGAAAATATGGACGAGAATCGCCGCAACTAAGCGCGCCAAGTAGAAGTTCAAAGATTTAAATATTTTATATTGCAATTTATTTTAAATAAACACCAACTACAAATGTTAATCTACGCAAATCGTCTTTTATTATTTCTACAGTTGCGTTTCAGGTGCTTCACGATATGCAGATTTTTACATTAAGTGGTCCCGGTCGCCGCTTTCCCTAAACAAAACAGCGAAAAAAGTTAACACGTTAAAAATATAGGCGCTTATTACGAGTTGCATTCGATAACCAAAGTGAAATTCGTATTATGAGCTATGCAAGCGTGTCGAAATTTTCGTTGAGTATCGAATTTTCTGTCGAACAGAATTTTGCTTTTGATGGTGTAGCGAAGTGTAAGAAAATTGTGAAAAATGTATGATTTTTCATTTGTTTTCTTACTAATTTTAAAAAATTTGTAATAGTTTCATGCAGTTCTCGTGAACACTAATCAAGAAAGGCTAGTTTTACTTGTGAAATAAAATCCCAATACTCAGTTGGCACGACCTCTGATAACAAAATCGTAGAGCTGTTGATAGTTTTAAAATATTTTAAATAGATTTGGCTCACAAACGCCTCTTTAGATAGTCGGAAGTTTTTAATAAATGTGTAGACAGATTTCTTAAATATATTTTATTTCAAAACGTATTCGAAAGACTACACTTAAACTCTCCTTAAACATTTTCTACTCCTGGCCAGTTTACTAACACGGTGTTCGCATGAGGCATTGTGCATACTTACAAGTGAAAAAAGAATCAGATGTTTTGCAGAAATGCCCCACAGATGAGATCACCTGATTTTGTTTGCTACAGGGTTACACTAATATCTATAAAAAAACTTTAAACAGACTCTGACAAAAACAGCAAAAAAGTTCTACTAAGTGCAATAGTTATTGACCAAAACGCTTTAAAATACTAAAATTGCATATACATGCAGGAATCTATTTAACTAAATGCATATTTTGCCAATTATTTTACTTTATTTTAATAACTTTTGCCTTTTTTACATCACTTTAAACACCCTGTCTAACATTTTGGCAGGATAGTTATACCTTTTGACAGGTACTTTCCAGGTAGCTTCCAGGCGGTTTCCAGGCAGAAGAAGAACATTTGTCACTTGTAAGTATGCACAATGGCATGAGGCGATTTGGCGTTCAACTCACGCAGGGCTACACGAAAAAAAAGTTGAATGGCTAAATGTTGGCTGGCGACCACCTTTGTTGAAAGTGATTAGTTGAAAGGCCGCCTTTTTATGGCGAATATTTTGATATTTTTTTATATTTTTAAATTTTAGTCAATCATTTTTTTTTTTTCTTTCGTGCAACCCGGCGTGAGTTAAACGCAAAATAGCCTCATGCGAACACCATATCAGTCTCATCCTCTGACGAATCGTTGAACCCAGCGTTGCCGTTTTGTGGGTAATTCCCCAAATTCGGGGAAATTTGAGTATTTGTGGGTAATTTTTGGGGAACGATATATTGTGGGAAAATTTGGGGAATTCGCTCTTAATAGTTATCTATGAAGAATTCAAGTTCCATAAAAATTTCTAAATTAACTTTGTTAGAGTTTCCTTATTTTGATTCTTGTAAAGCACTCTGTAGCAAGGCGAATTTATACAAGGCAGTCTGCCTGAAGAGCTGAGATTTTCGCCGCGCTGTTTCTTAATGTTAAAACGATTTGTTTGTTGTGTATTTATGGCAATGCTTGCTGTCATTGTAAAGGCCCTCCACATAGACTTTGGCGTTGGCGTTGGCGTTGAAGTGTCTAAGTAATACGTGTGCGTTAATATCATGGAGCAGACATTCACACAAAACACATAGAAACACAAAAAATTTATTTTGGATATTTTTTTTAAATTATTATTTGAAATCAAACAACTGTCAAAGTTAACTCCAAATGTTCTATGTGGACGATTGTGTTTTACAAAAAGCTCTTTTCATTTAACAAGTTAAATGGGGCCAATTCGAACGTAATATTATAGTGCTTTAAACAGTTATTTGAGAATTTCAATTTTTGAGGATCCATCTCGTACTATTGAATATATGCTCTGTATAATGGAGAACAAGTTTACCATTATTTATTTAGAATTTATGTCGTATGTTCTTGGACTAACATGTAATTTTAATATTTTATTTCAATCTGAAACGCCGCTGAACCTAAGCTTGTAATTATCTTCGAATAGATTACGTTCGATTTTGTCCAGAATACTTTTGAGGCAGAATTTAGGAATCCAACATTTTTTATCGATATCAATCACCTTTATTTGGGTGTTGCAGCTACTGAAATCTTGGAAAACGCTAGTAAGGATTTAAGTATTCCGAGCATTTTAATAACAGATTTTCTTGCCACATGTCAGTCATTTTACATAGAGCTTGTTTCTGACATAGTCAATAGGTTTGATTTTCTTATTCTGTTTCTTAAATGGCGCTGTAACCGCCTAAGCGATTTTGGCCGGGTTCAACAAAGCACGCCAGTCTCATACAGCTAGTCGTTCCATCGCCTGCGGTACTCGCCGTCGCCAACGTGTAAAGGCCCGTAAACCTTCCGCAAAATCTTTCTCTCGAATATTCCAAGAGCCGCCTCATCGGATGTTGTCATTGTCCATGTTTCTGCGCCATATACCAGCACGGGCATGATGAGTGACTTATAGAGTGTGGTTTTCGTACGTCGAGAGAGGACTTTACTCCTGAATTGCCTACTCAGTCCAAAGTAGCACTTGTTGGTGCTGTAACCGCCTAAGCGATTTTGGCCGGGTTCAACAAAGCACGCCAGTCTCATACAGCTAGTCGTTCCATCGTCTGCGGTACCCGCCGTCGCCAACGTGTAAAGGCCCGTAAGCCTTCCGCAAAATCTTTCTCTCGAATATTCCAAGAGCCGCCTCATCGGATGTTGTCATTGTCCATGTTTCTGCGCCATATACCAGCACGGGCATGATGAGTGACTTATAGAGTGTGGTTTTCGTACGTCGAGAGAGGACTTTACTCCTGAATTGCCTACTCAGTCCAAAGCAGTACTTGTTGGCAAGAGCGATTCTGCGTTGGATTTCCATGCTGACATTATTATCGGTGTGAATGCTGGTTCCCAAGTAAACGAAGTTCTCTACTTTCTCGAAATTATAACTGTCAACAGTAACGTAGGTGCCAAGGCGCGAATGTGCTGTTTGTTTGATGACAGGAGATACTTCTCTTGTCCTCGTTTACCACCAGACCCATTCACTTTGCATCCTTATCCAACTTGGAAAAGGCATAACAGACTTCGCGGTTTTTGATGCCGATGTCATCGGCATAAGCCAGCAATTGCACGCTCTTGTAGTAAATTTCTCCTAAGCGGTTCAGTTCTGCAGCTCTTATTATCTTCTCCAACATCAGATNACTTTGCATCCTTATCCAACTTGGAAAAGGCATAACAGACTTCGCGGTTTTTGATGCCGATGTCATCGGCATAAGCCAGCAATTGCACGCTCTTGTAGTAAATTGTTCCTGAGCGGTTCAGTTCTGCAGCTCTTATTATCTTCTCCAACATCAGATTAAAGAAGTCGCATGAAAGAGAGTCGCCGTGTCTGAAGCCCCGTTTGGTGGCGAACGGCTCGGGGAGGTCTTTCCCAAATCTGACGGAGCTGGTGGTATTGCTCAACGTCATTTTACACAGTCGTATCAGTTTGGCGGGGATGCCAAATTCAGACATAGCGGTTTATAGGCAACTCCTTTTAGTGCTGTCGAAAGCGGCTTTAAAGTCGACAAATAGGTGGTGAGTGTCGATCATTTTCTCGCGGGTCTTTTCCAAGATTTGGCGTATTGTGAATACGTGGTCTATGGTGGATTTTCCAGGTTAAAGCCACACTGATAAGGCCCAATCCGTTCATTGATAGTGGGCTTCAGTATTTCACACAATACGCTCGATAAGACCTTGCAACCTATGCTCAGAAAGCTGATCCCGCGGTAGTTGGCGCGAATGGCGGGGTCGCCTTTCTTGTGGATTGGGCAGAGCACACTTAAATTCCAGTCGTCGGGCATGCGTTCATCTGACCATATTCTGCATAAGAGTTGATGCATGCACCTTATCAACTCCGCGCCACCGTACTTGAATAGCTCAGCTGACAGGTTGTCAGCTCCAGCAGCTTTGTTGTTTTTCAGTCGCGTTATTTCTATTCGTACCTCGTCATGGTCAGGCGGAGGAACGTTGACTTCGTCATCATTGTCTGGGGGCTTGGATTCTTCTTCTCCACAACTTTCCGTGCTGCTACCGTTCAGTAGCGTGGAGGTGTTCCCTCCATAATTTAAATACGTTCTGAACATCGGTAACTAGATCGCCATTGTGGTTCTTACAAGAGTACGCCCGGGTCTTGAAACCTTCCGTAAGTCGCCTAACTCTCTGGTAAAATTTTCGGGCATTCTTCCTGTCGGCCAGCATTTCAAGCTCTTCGCACTCACATATTTCGGCATCTCTCTTATTGCGGCAAATACGTTTCGCATCCCTCTTCAGATCCCTATAGCGGTCCCACATGGCTCGCGCTGCGCCCGATCGCAAGGCGCTGTAGGCGGCATCTTTTTTGTCTGCAGCTTCCTGACACCCCTCATCATACCAGTTGTTCTTTCGGGCTCGCTGAAATCCGACTACTTCTTCGGTGGCGGTACTTAATGAGCGGGAAATGTGGTTACACTGCTCGCATATGTCGGTTTGTTGAAGAGTGCTCTATGAGAGCAGGTGTCAGAGTAGAGTAGCGAAAGCACTGCCTGTCTATTGTGATTGCAGCTTTCTACGTTAAGCTTTCCTTGCATATTTGGGCGCACATTTTCTGCTGCGCAGAGGCGGTAGTGTATCTTGGCTGCAACAAGATAGTGGTCCAAGTCGACGTTTGGGCCTCGGAGTGGGCGTACGTCAAAAACACTGGAAGCGTGCCTTCCGTCTATCATAACATGATCGATTTGGTTTCTTGTTTTTCGATCTGGAGACGGCCATGTAGCTTGGCGGATGTTTTTATGCTGGAACCTAATACTGCATACTACCATGTTGCGGGCCCCGGCGAAGTCGATCAGCATCAATCTGTTGTCGAACGTTTCGTCGTGGTGGCTGAATTTTCCGACGGTGGTTCCAAAGATCCCTTCCTTACCCACCTTGACATTGAAGTCTCCAAGCACGATTTAGACAGCGTGGCGGGGGCAGCGCTCGTACATGCGCTCCAAGCGCTCATAGAAGAGATCCTTGGATACCTCATCCTTCTCTTCCGTCGGGGAATAGGCGCAGATGAGCGAGATGTTGAAGAATCTCGCTTTGATGCGGATTATGGCTAGACGCTCGTCCACGGGGGTGAACGACAGTACTCGGCAACGGAGTCTCTCTCCCACCACAAATCCAACACTCAATTTGCGCTCCTTTACATGGCAGCTGTAGTATACGTCGCAAGGCCCCAGGCATTGCTTGCCTTGCCCCGTCCAATGCATTTCTTGGATGGCGGTGATGTCAGCTTTCGTTCTTACGAGGACATCAACCAGCCGGGTAGAGGCACCTTCCCCATTAAGGGTCCGGACATTCCAGGTGCATACCCTCAAATCGTA